CTCCACTGCTGAGCGCTGCTGTGCCGGGCATGCTGGAACTCCAGTACGAGCTGCAGTCTAAGGCAGCAAAGTGGTACGCCACTGTTGACATTGCTAATGTGTTTTTCTCCATTCCTCTGGCAGCAGAATGCAGGCCTCAGTTTGCTTTCACCTGGAGGGGTGTGCAGTACACCTGGAACCGACTGTCCCGGTGATGGAAACACAGCCCCACCATCTGCCATGGACTGATCCAGGCTGTACTGGAAAAGGGTGAAGCTCCAGAACACCTGCAGTACATCAATGACATCATTGTGTGGGGGAACACAGCAACAGAAGTATTTGAGAAAGGAGAGAGGATCATCCAGATTCTGCTAAAAGCCAGCTTCACCATCAAGAAGAGCAAAGTCACGGGACCTGTCCAAGAGATCCAGTTCCTGGGAGTAAAGTGGCAAGATGGACGGCGTCAGATTCCCACTGAGGTCTTCAACAAGACCACAACGTCTCCACCAACCAGCAAGAAGAAAACACTTTCCTAGGTGCCATAGTGTGGATATTCTCAGTTCATTTGAAGAGAGAACAGAGACAATTTCTCCCAGGCTGAGCCTGGGAATCTTAGATGAAAGAATTCAAACAATTATTATCTCTCTGTAACCATTGTTTATCCTTATGGTTCTTTACAGCGTGCTATTCATAGTCACAAATAATGTGAGACGTTTTCTACTTTGAGACCAATCCAGTCCCATCTAGTGAGTGAGACTTTAAAAACTCACTGCTTCTTGTTAATAAAGATTCTTCTTAAGCCTTCTGATCCACCTGAAGACTGGAGTCTTTCTTTCCGTCCCTGACTCAACAGTGTCACCATAGGATTTTGGAGAATGCACATTCCCAAGTACAGCCAGATTGCGAGCCCTCTCTACCTGGTCACCCACGAGAATGATTTCCACTGGGGCCCTGAACAGCAACAAGCCTTTGCCCAGATCAAGCAGGAAATCACTCATGCGGTTGCACTTGACCCAGTCAGGATGGGACCAGAGGTGAAGAATGTGCTCTGCTCTGCGGCTGGGAACAATGGCTTGTCCTGGAGCCTTTGGCAGAAGCTGCCTGGGGAGACTCAAGGCCGATCACTGGGATTCTGGAGCTGAAGTTACAGAACATCCAAAGCCAACTACACTCCCACAGAGAAGAAATCTTGGCCACCTGTGGAGGAGTCCAAGCCGCCTCGGAGGTGATTGGCACAGAAGCACAACTCCTCCTGGCAGCCCGACTACCAGTGCTGTAGTGGATGTTTAAAGGAAAGGTTCCCACTACCCACCATGCCACCAACACCACAGGGAGCAAATGAATTACTCTTATCACACAGCACGCCCATATTGGAAACCTGAATCACCCTGGAATTTTGGAGATAATTGAAAACTGGCTGGAAGGTGAAAACTTTGGTCTCACTGATGAAGAGGAATAAGAGCAAGTGACACATGCTGAAGAAGCTCCACCATACAACCAACTGCCAGCAGAGGAAACACGCTACGCCCTTTTCACTAATGGTTCCTGTCGCATCGTAGTGATGAACTGAAAATGGAAAGCAGCCATATGGAGCCCCACTTGACAGGTTACACAAGCTACCGAAGGAGAAGGTGGATCAAGTCAACTTGCTGAACTCAAGGCCGTTCAACAGGCCGTGGACATTGCTGAGAGACAGAAGTGGTCTAGAAGAAGGTCTAGAAAGTCTGCCTTTATACTGATTCATGGATGATCACCAATGCTTTGTGGGGCTGGCTGGAAAGGTGGAAAAAGGCAACTGGCAGTGTAGAGGAATGCCAATCTGGGCTGCTGATGAATGGAAGGACATTGCCAGTCGGGTAGAGAAGCTACCTGTGAAGGTCCGCCATGTAGATGCCCATGTCTCCAAGAGTCAGGCTAATGAGGATCACTGAAACAATGAGCAGGTAGATCAGGCAGCAAAGATAGAGGTGTCAAAGATAAACTTAGACTGGAACACAAGGGAGAGTTATTCCAAGCTCAATGGGCCCATGATGCCTCAGGCCATCAGGGTAGAGATGCCACCTATAAGTAGGCACGAGACTGAGGGGTGGATTTACCATGGACAGTATTTCTCAGGTTATCCACGACTGTAAGACGTGTGCTGCCATCAAACAGGCCAAGCGAGTGAAGCCCCTATGGTATGGTGGGCAGTGGTCCAAGTACAAGAATGGGGAGGCCTGGCAGATTGACTACATCACACTGCCCCAGACACACCAAGGCAAGCAGTATGTGCTGACCATGACCAAAGCCACCACAGGATGGTTGGAAACCTACCCTGTGCCTCACACTACTTCCCAGAACACCATCCTGGGCCTTGAAAAGCAAATCCTGGGGAGACATGGTACCCCTGAGAGAACTGAGTCGGACAATGGAACCCATTTCAAGAACAGCCTTATAAACACCTGGGCCAGGGAACATGGTATTGAATGGGTAGATCATATCCCCTATCATGCACCAGCTGCCGGGAAGGTTGAACACTGGAATGGACTAATTAAGACTGACCTGAAGGCATTTGGCAGGGGAACCTTCAGAAATTGGGAACTGAACTTAGCAAAAGCCACCTTGGATGGTCAATACCTGAGGGTCCATCAATCAAGCTGGTCCTGCCCAGTGTGAAACCTTGCACATAGGGGATGGAGATAAAGTCCCTGTGGTACATGTGAAAGGTATTTTAGGAAAGACTGTTTGGGTCAATCCCACCTCAGGCAAAGACAAACCCATCAGTGGCATTGTTTTTGCTCAAGGACCTGGTAACACTTGGTGGGTAATGCAGAAAGATGGAGAAGCCTCTTGTGTACCATACTGGGAAATCCAGTCGCAAGTGAAAACTGTGCTTAAGATTTCATTGCGTAGAATTAGTTCATTTGTTTGGGCATGATACAGATAGCAATAGAATAAGGGGTAGATAATGTCTTAGGTTGGAAATGGGTGTGTGTATTCTGTTCCTGTCTGTGGAACAGTTCTCTTCTGTTCATTGGGAAGTTTTCTTTATCTCTTCCACAACCCATCCTCTCTCCAAGAGATAGGCTCTGTTCATGGGCCACTGAGTCTCACCACATGACTTATAAAATTATATCATCCCCCTGTGAGGAGCTCTGCCCAGAGGGAGGAGCCAAGCATTCCTATCTGGAGAGAATCAGTGATCTGGAAGACCACAGTCAGCCTTTCCCCACTGGATTCCCAGAGGAGCAGCTTTCTTCTCCCCTGCATTCCCAGAGAAAGGCCAGGCCCATCTCCAGCAGCCCTGGACCTTCAGAGGAAAACTACACCCTTCTCCAGGATCCCTGCTCCACCAGTACCACACCTGGCACTGCAGGAGGGCTGAGCCACCATGGGATGGGACTGCTGCCACCACCCTGACCCACAGGGTGTCAGGTTGTATTCTGACTCTGTCCACACTTTATTTGTTTGTACTATTCCATTTGTATTTTTTTTTTGTTTTCCTAGTAAAGAACTGTTATTCCTGTTCCCATATCCTCCTCTGAGAGCCTTCTACTTTCAAAATTATAACAATTCAGAGGTAGGAGGTTTATATTGTCCATTTCAGGGGAGGCTCCTGCCTTCCTTATCAGACACCTGGCTGTTCCAACCAGGACAGGCATCCAGCACTGAAACACAAGGCGAGGGAGAAGAGCACTGGGGCCCATGGAGTAAGCCCAAAAGAGCATTTCCCCATCTCTCCCTGAGCCCCCACTCTCCTCCAGCTCCACCACACACCCCAACACCACAACTGTGCCACTGCAGTGCTCCTGCTCTGCTCTCACCTCCACCAAGGATGTCCCAAGAAGGGACAAGCCACTGCAATCCACATCACGGAAGAAGGAAAAGGACAAGATGGAGCCATCTCTGCCCAAAGTCAAGCACCAGCTCCCTGCCCCCCCAGCCCATGCGACACCCCAGTCCCAAGGCTCCCTTGGTGAGAGGACTGGGGAAATAAACAAGGGCAAGAGTGCAGGGTCACTTTGCCCAAAGGAAAACAGGTCCAGGGGAGATAGGATCAGCGCTAGCACCACCTGTACACCCAGGTGCTCTCTGCAAAAGTAGCCAACACAGAACAGGGCAAACCAGAATCTCGCACTGCAAGGCCGTGGGGAAGGGGACACATGTGCCACTGAGCTCTTGGAAAAACTTGGGCAGAGGCAAGGCCATTCCAGCCACATCCTGGCTCCTGCTGGATGCCCTTGGGGTGCTTGGGCGGCCCTGGCTCCCTCTGGCAGAAGCAGCCACACGTGTCCAGGTGCTCTTCTCCAGACGCGTGTGGGCACTGGCACCCACCCTGTCCTGGGGCACACACCACCCAAAGATACAAAGATACAAAAAGAACCCCCAAAAATAAACTTCCACAGCTTCAAACCATAAACACAACAATCCAAAATGACAACATAAAGCAAAGCAAAAGCCACCCTCATCCTCATGCATGCGCTTGGTAGTCATACATGGCACAGCCACTCGCCCCCAGGCTTTCCCCAGCATAGAATGTACCACCGGCACCCACCATGATGCCACAGCCAAGGCAGCCGTCAGGAACAAGCACCCAGACCTGCCAGAAGGATGGGTACACACGGTGAAGAAACACTGACAGGCACTCAGAGACACCCAGTGATGAGCATTTTGGGAAAGGGAGCACCTTATCCCTGGGGGACTGAGGGGCTGGGGGCAGAGAGTGTCCTGGGGGAGTCAGTGCTCAGGGCTGGGGGGCAGCAGGGCTGCCCAGCTCCTCACTGACACCATCATAGGTGGGGGGCTGCCCAACAGCTGTGCCCCAGGAGGGACCCTGTGCCCCAGGAGGCAACCTGCCCCTTCCCAGAGCAGGGCCAGGTGTCCCCACCATGTCCCAGCATGGTGCCAGCACATGACGGGCAGATGTGACCATTCCCAGGTGGGACGGTGAGTGCGATAAGAGCAGGTGATGGGGCTGAGGGGCCCCTGTGCCAACAGCCTGGGACAGTCCCCACATGTCAGCGGCAGGCAGGGCCACTCCAAGGTCCCCAGCAGTCCGGACACTATAAGAGGGGTGAGCGGCCCCATTGCGGCACCTTTGCTCCACACAACCATGCTGGGAGCCGTCTGTCTCGTCGTGCTGCTGGGCTACGGTAGGTGCAGGGGATGGGCAAGGGTCAGGGCAGGGGGCACAGGCAGCCTCTGATGTCCCTTTGCCCGCTGTCCCACAGCCTATGGATGCGGTCAGCCGGCCGTGCCACCACTGCTGAGCTCCCGCGTGGTGGGCGGTGAAGACGCTGTAGCCCACAGCTGGCCATGGCAGGTGAGGGGGCACAGGGACAGGCATGGGCACGAGGATGGGGACAGGGATGGGGACATTCTGCTCTGACCCTGTGCCTCTGCCCTCGCAGATCTCGCTGCAGTACAAACGCTTTGGGTCCTGGAGCCACTATTGCGGCGGGACCCTCATTGCCCCCCAGTGGGTGCTGACAGCTGCCCACTGCATCAGGTGGGTGTTGGGGTGCTGGGGGGCATCTGTACCCGCAGGATGAGATATCTGTGGGCACTGACACCCCCTCTCTCCCTGGCAGCTCTTCCATGACCTACCGTGTGGCGCTGGGCAGGCAGGACGTGTCAAAGGCTGATGAGGCTGATTCTGTAGCCGTGGCTGTGGAGAAGATTATCGTCCATGAGGACTGGGATTCCTACTACATCATGTAGGGGATGGGGTGCATCAGGGGTGGGCTGTGGGTTCTGTGGCCAGGGACCCTGTTCTCATGGCCAGGGACCATGGTTCGTGTCTCCTTGCAGCAATGACATTGCCCTGGTCAAGCTGGCAGAGGAGGTGCAGGAGACTGACAACATCCGTGCCGCCTGCCTGCCAGCTGCTGACAAGGTCCTGCCCAACGACTACCCCTGCTATGTCACCGGCTGGGGAAGCATGAGGAGTAAGTGGGGTGTCCCCGGGGGGGGTCTTCAGGAGCGGGATGCGGGCACAGGGTGTGAGGTACGAGCTTTGGCTCTCATTGCAGCCAACGGGCCCCTGGCTGAAATTCTGCAGCAGGCTCTGCTGCCCGTGGTGGATTATGAGACCTGCTCCAAGTGGGACTGGTGGGGCAGCGACGTGAGCAGAACCATGGTGTGTGCCGGCGGTGACGGCGTCGTCTCTGGATGCAACGTGAGTGTGGGCACTGCACGTGGTGGGTGCCAAAACGCTGTGGAACCCTGGGCACAGGGAGAAGAGGGGATGGAGCCATGGTGGTGCATGGCCAGGAGGGATGAGGGGAGTGTTGGCAGGGTGCCCAGGAGCAGTGGCCCACACTGTCTCTCCATACAGGGCGATTCTGGAGGCCCCCTGAACTGCCAGCGCGATGACGGGGTCTGGGAGGTCGAGGGCATCGTCAGCTTCGGCTCCAGCCGGAGCTGCAACTTGAAAAGGAAGCCAACAGTCTTCACCCGGGTGTCTGCCTACATCGACTGGATCAACGAGGTGGGTGCCCCTTCCTCTGCCCCCACACAGGGGCTGTTCTTGCCCCACTGAGGGTCTTACCGTGACCCCCCTGTGTCTTTTTGGCAGAAAATGAGCACGAACTGAGGACATGGCATTGTGGAGATACCACTGTTGACCAAGATAAAAGCAAAAATGCTGAGCTGGTCTTGCTGGTTTTTTGGGAGAGGGAGATGTACTAGAGCTGGGGACACACATCCAGGGCTGGGTCTGCTGATGCCAAGGTCCTGCCTGTGTGCTGGCGAAGGTGTCCCTGTTGTGCAGTGGGGCTGGGCAGGACTCTGGGGAGGCTGTCGGGCACATCCTGCAAGATGCTTCCAGTCCTCAAGCCACGGCTGAGGCAAGGGGCTTGAGCTTTGGCAATTAGTTTGATGGCAGAGGGGCTGGGGTTTGTCCGGCTCCTTCAGGGGACCTCCAGGGAACCCAGCTGGCCCTTGGGGACCATCTGGAACACTTGGCAGCTCCCAGGGGGAGCTTTAGGGGACCTCACCGGCACTGCCCAGATGAGGGCTGACTTTCAGATGGGGCTCTTGAGGGAACTGGCTTGGCCTTGGGGAGCTTGAGAGTCTGATAGGTTTGGGAGGAGTCAGGGCTGCCTGCAGGAGCTCTCTTGGAGATGGAGCCCTTGGCAGCTGCATGGCACTGCCGGCTCCAACGACAGGACCTGTGACGTGGCCCAGGAGCAGAGCACCTTACCTTGGATCTCCTTCTGTGGTGGCTGGAGGAACCAGGTGGGTGGTGGGTAGCTGACAGGACCCCCAACTGTGGGGTTGCCAGGAGGAGCCCAGGCTGCCCTGGAGGAGACAGGGAAGTTCTCCAGGAAGAAGGCAGCGTGTTCCAGGTGGGAGCAGGTGTGAAGGAGCTGTCCAGGAAGTGCGTGAAGTGCGGGTGGGTACCGCACCGTGAGCCCCTGGGCAGAGCCATCCATCACACCATCATCCCATCGTGGCTGCTGGAGCCCAGCCAGGATCCTCACGGCCTGGGGAGGAGGAGCACAGCGAGCAGGGATGGACGGCAGCAGCTCAGGCTTGGTGGAGGACGTGATGGACGGTGCCTGGTTTAGGAGCCACGGTGCCACTGGGCCATTGAGCAGCACCATCACCAGCCCAGAGAGCAACACTGGCACCTGCACCGGGGCCCAAGAGCACTGGCACGAGCCCTGGCACCGTGTGAGCCCCCTGGGGACTCTCCAGAGACCCCCTGGCCATTGTCAGCGTGACCAAAGCAGGTGAAGAGGGATGCAGGGTGGGAAATGGTTTGGAGGGACAGGAAATGTGCTATGGCAAAGGAACTGTAGGGATCACCCCAAAGGCAATTAAAGGCCCGCCAGTCAGGTGATGTGTGGAGGTGGCTTCTCTGCACAGCAGGATGGGGCCAGGGGCTTGGGACACTGGAGTGGGATTGGCAGCAGGATCTGCTGGCTTGGATGGAGAGCTCCAGGCTGCCCACGGGAAGCTGGGCACTGTGGGGTGCCCCTGTCCCCTCTGCATGGACCCACATGTGCCATGGGGACGGTTGGTTGGGCTGGGAGTGCAGGACCCTGGTGTCACAGCCTGTTGTGCGTGTACTTGTGCATTGTGTCCCATCCTCAGAGGGGCTTTGGTGGACGGAGGAGCCCTGGACAAGGCCCCACAGTGCCACAAGCCTCTCTGCTGGGGCATCAGCCCTGCCCCAGCCAGGCACGGGCACCCCCACAGTGTGTGTCACCCCAATAGCCAGTGTCCCCCTGCCCAGGAGGTGGTGAAGGGTTGTGATCCCTCTGGGTGAGGAACCTTCTTCTAACATCCAGTCTGTCCTTGGCCACAGCTCCAGCCGTTCCCTCGGGTCCTGTCCCTCGTCACAGAGAGCACAGAGCAGAGCTGCCCCTCGGGTGGAGCTGCAGCCTCCACTGAGGTCTGACCTCAGCTTCCTCCAGCTGAACAAACCGAGTGACTTCAGCCTCAACTACTTTTAATCTCTATGGCTGCATAGAGTTTGACAAATATTTGTTATGCTTCCATGTTAATTGTCAATTATTGTTATATTCTTTTCATACAATTTATAACTGACACAGTAAATCTACAGGATAACCTAAAGAAGCGTAAGGCACAGCAGGATGGGGCCAGGGGCTTGGGACACTGGAGTGGGATTGGCAGCAGGATCTGCTGGCTTGGATGGAGAGCTCCAGGCTGCCCACGGGAAGCTGGGCACTGTGGGGTGCCCCTGTCCCCTCTGCATGGACCCACATGTGCCATGGGGACGGTTGGTTGGGCTGGGAGTGCAGGACCCTGGTGTCACAGCCTGTTGTGCGTGTACTTGTGCATTGTGTCCCATCCTCAGAGGGGCTTTGGTGGACGGAGGAGCCCTGGACAAGGCCCCACAGTGCCACAAGCCTCTCTGCTGGGGCATCAGCCCTGCCCCAGCCAGGCACGGGCACCCCCACAGTGTGTGTCACCCCAATAGCCAGTGTCCCCCTGCCCAGGAGGTGGTGAAGGGTTGTGATCCCTCTGGGTGAGGAACCTTCTTCTAACATCCAGTCTGTCCTTGGCCACAGCTCCAGCCGTTCCCTCGGGTCCTGTCCCTCGTCACAGAGAGCACAGAGCAGAGCTGCCCCTCGGGTGGAGCTGCAGCCTCCACTGAGGTCTGACCTCAGCTTCCTCCAGCTGAACAAACCGAGTGACTTCAGCCTCAACTACTTTTAATCTCTATGGCTGCATAGAGTTTGACAAATATTTGTTATGCTTCCATGTTAATTGTCAATTATTGTTATATTCTTTTCATACAATTTATAACTGACACAGTAAATCTACAGGATAGTCTAAAGAAGTGTAAACTTTATTTTTATTAAATGTCTAACATCTTATATACACTCTATAGGATGTGTCCATTATGAAGTATTTAACAATATGGGAGAATAAGGGGAAGTTTAAAAGACCACAATAAAACTTTGCCAAGTTCATAACTTTTACTTCACTGTTGAAATAGAAGTACTCATACAATCACTTACATAAAAATTTGTCATGGTCTGACGCTGGCACAATGCCAGTGCCCCTATGAAAATATATTCTCCCTAGGGACTGCCATGAGATGTGACCAGGAATACAGCAAAGCAGGCTCCCACACAGTCTTCACCCGGGTGTCTGCCTACATCGACTGGATCAACGAGGTGGGTGCCCCTTCCTCTGCCCCCACACAGGGGCTGTTCTTGCCCCACTGAGGCTCTTACCGTGACCCCCCTGTGTCTTTTTGGCAGAAAATGAGCACGAACTGAGGACACGGCATTGTGGAGATACCACTGTAGACCAAGATAAAAGCAAAAATGCTGAACTAGTCTTGCTGGTTTTTTGGGAGAGGGGGATGTGGTGGAAGTGTAAACTTTATTTTTATTAAATGTCTAACATATTATATACACTCTATGGGATGTGAATAGGATGGTTTTTTAAGTATTTAACAATGTGGGAGAATAAGGGGAAGTTTGAAACAATACAATAAAACTTCACGAAGTTCATAACTTTTACCTCACTGTTGAAATTGAAGTACTCATACAATCACTTACATAAAAATTACATGTTAAAAGTGATCTTTACCCACTCCTGGGAATGAGAGCTCGGGACACCCATGTTGCCCGAACAGAGACACAAAACTCGTAAGCTTTGTGCAGTGCTTTATTTAGGGCCCGGGAGTCTGGGGACCGCAGTCCCAAATCAGAGCTCCAACGCCACTGATACATCGATCTCCTTATATATGATATGTGTACGTGCAGTCCGTTACAGATTCTCTAAGCAACGACCCTTAACAATTCCCCTTTCTTAGCAACTTGCTCCCCGTGATACTCGTGATACATTCCTTAAGCTACAAACAAGACTATAAATCAGGTACTTATCATTATTTCCAGCACATTGTATACAAATCAGCATTCTTGCTTCCCTCCCCTGATTAAACATTCGTTAAGGTTGCTTGAATTCTATGGTTACACTCTTACAACACACTCCCAGAGTTACAACACACTGCAAATGGTTATAAATTCCTATCTTACCTACACATTATATTTTACAAATTTTCTACATTTAATTATTTTCAAAACCCAGGGACAATTCAGAGGTAGGAGGTTTATATTGTCCATTTCAGGGGAGGCTCCTGCCTTCCTTATCAGACACCTGGCTGTTCCAACCAGGACAGGCATCCAGCACTGAAACACAAGGCGAGGGAGAAGAGCACTGGGGCCCATGGAGTAAGCCCAAAAGAGCATTTCCCCATCTCTCCCTGAGCCCCCACTCTCCTCCAGCTCCACCACACACCCCAACACCACAACTGTGCCACTGCAGTGCTCCTGCTCTGCTCTCACCTCCACCAAGGATGTCCCAAGAAGGGACAAGCCACTGCAATCCACATCACGGAAGAAGGAAAAGGACAAGATGGAGCCATCTCTGCCCAAAGTCAAGCACCAGCTCCCTGCCCCCCCAGCCCATGGGACACCCCAGTCCCAAGGCTCCCTTGGTGAGAGGACTGGGGAAATAAACAAGGGGAAGCAGTGGTGATGTAGAGAAATGGGGAGGACTGATTTGTTGACCAGAATCCAATTTTACTGCGGGATACAAATGCTTATATACTATCTCAGGGAGACTAATAATGTGTGCAATGATTAGGTTAAAATCACATACACAAACTGATACATATAGCACCATGTCTTTCTTGCAGAGTTGAATGGCTATTTTCTTTTTTCGGTAAACTTGTCTGATTGAATCTTCTTGCAATCTAGGTCTAATTTTGAAAGTTCCCTTTGCTTTGGCCAAGGCATCCTGTTATAAAATCTTTTATGTTAACTAGGTCTGAATGCCATCTTAGCATCCCAATATCTCCCCTCTTCCTTTCTGCAGCAGCGGCTGGCTTAGAGAAAGTCCCAGCAAGCTGCAGCCAGTACCGCCGGCAGCACTGGGGCACTCTCCCGGTCCACACCGGTGGGGAGGGCGCCTGAGGTTTTTCAGCCTTGCAGGATGAAGCTCAGCGACGGAGGAGAGAGGCTGCTACCTGACTGGAAGGAGAGACTCGAACTCCAGCAGTGCTGCGAATTGCAATTTACTAACTCCAAGGGCTCCAGCTGCTGAAGACCCCTAACTGGGCTCCGACAAGGGTTTTTAAAGGGAGGAGGTTACAAGGGTGTGGCTTGGACTTCAGCCAATTAGAAACTAACTTGGAGTGGAGTGAGGGTGATAGGCATTGCGAGGTAACCAATAGGGATGAACATGGGGAGGGGCCCTGGCCCCGGAGCCAATCACTCAATGCCCAGGCTAGAAAGTTCTAGAGAGAAGGGTTGGGATGCCGAGTGACTGACAGGGCACCAGGGCGGGATTAAACAGAGGATACATGCGTTGTCAGGGGGAGCAGGGAGGAGAAAACTGAATTGACTGGGTGAGTGAGGGGAGAGAGAACCAGGGCAGAACCATTACAAATATTGGGGTACTAACGGAAACATGCAGAACACAATACAGCACCTTTCAACCAAAAACACTCCTTTAAGGGCCTTATTCATTATTCTTTGCACACATTGAAAGGTATCATGATTAATAATATTATCAAAATTATCATATACATATCTCTCTTAAAAAGAATCTTTTCATTAAAAAACTCTAGCCACTAAACAGTTCAGGTTTGATCTTTATAAAATAAAACATTCCTGATGGCAGCCGCATTAATAGATTTAGAAAGGCTGCCAGAAGTGTAATTGTACCAAAAGTTTTGATTCTTATACACAGAGTGATAGGGAAAGACATTTTTAGACTGAGTCCTTCCTGTGTATTTAAAATTAACCCAAAAATCCAATTTTCACAGAACCCAGAAACTCTAATTCTTGCAATTCCAAGGGTGTTTCAGCAAGGTAAGGGGTCAAGTTTGATATGATT